CCCCCCCCCCCGTTGCAGTTTTAATGCTTGTAAAGGCAACAGCAAGGAAACTTTTCATTAACCTTACTCAAATGATGGCTAGAGCCAGGGTACAATGCAGTGTAAATGAAAATGATAATATAGAGATGGAGAACATATGATGTTTTACTACACAGTCATGGATTTAAAGTCTCATGATCTCTTACAGTTTAATCCTCAGGGTAGGGCTGCTGAGAATTACAGTCTAACAATATCTGATTTTGTTCAATAGGGATGGGAGTTCCAGAAAAAGAAACTCCCAGTCCCATAATTTGGCAGGACCCCCCCCCCCCAGGTGAAAAGCACCCAGCTTCACCTTTGTGGATCGCTCTTTACAGAGGTAGCCTCCATTGGAACTCGTTCCCTCCCTCCATGTACCTGTGCAGGTTGCAGGGAATCCTCATGACTTAAAAAAAAAGGTGCAGCGGGGCACTTTTCAGAAGGTGTGAAAAAATGGTGCAGGAACAACATGGAAGTTGTTCCTGCATTTGACAGCTCCCAATCCCATAATTTCTACTTATTTATGGAGTCCAGTTTTTCCAACAGTCCGAGACAGACAGACAGAAGGTGATTTCTACCTGTGTCTAAGCACTTCACCCTGCACATTTTAGAGTTACTGTTTTATTGTTGCATGTGTGTGTTCTGTGCCATCAAGTTAGAACAGCTTTCTGGCGACCCTAATAGGACTTTCAAGGTAAGTGAGAAATTTAAGAAGTGGTTTTATCAGTTTCCATGGCTAAGCGGGGATTCAAATCATGTTCCCCAGAGTCCTTGTCTGTCACTCTGTTTACTACATTACACTGGGAATCCGTTAAACTATTAGCCTGCGGTAATGGGGGAAATCAGCTGCTACAGCATCTCTGATAGTTTCTTATTCAGTCTTTTCTTTAAAATACCTGTTGAAGAACTCACCATCTTGCAGGGATATTTTGTTCCACTTTCAAAGAGCTTGTGTGTTGGGAAAATTTTCTTACTGTAAGCTTGTTTTTGTTTGTTTAACGTATAGCATGCTCTCTTTTGAAAATGAGACGTAAGGCAGCATGCAGTTAAATAGAACAAACACAATTAAAATATGAAAAGAATAAAAACATTAGCAATTTTAAAACACAGAAATAAAAGAAAACATAACACCCAGCCAGTTAAAAGCCCCTTGTACAGCAAATTAGGTCAGTTGTCAAAGTCCCACATGTTCAAAGAGGACTCTGTCTGCTGGCACAAAGATGGAACAGGAGCAGGCAACCTCTCTCTGTGGGAAGTCCCTGGGGTTGGAAATATCTTTTAATTTGAGCCTGTTTGCAACCTGACCTATGAAATAACTGAACACATTTGTTTCATCATCTTTATGAAAAACCTACAAATACGTGAAGAGGTCTGTTTCTTCAGTCTTCCTGAAGCACATTGGACATAATCATAGCTATGCTGGCTTTCAAAGGGGACGTGGTGGCGTTGCGGGCTAAACCACAGAAGCCTGTGCTGCAGGGTCAGAAGACCAAGCAGGCGTAAGATCGAATCCACGCAACGGAGTGAGCTCCCGTCGCTTGCCCCCGCTCCCGCCAACCTAACAGTTCGAAAGCATGCAACTGCAAGTAGATAAATAGGGACCACTTCGGTGGGAAGGGAACAGCGTTCCGTGTCTAAGTTGCACTGGCCATGTGACCACGGAAGATTGTCTTCGGACAAAACGCTGGCTCTATGGCTTGGAAACGGGGATGAGCACTGCCCCCTAGAGTCGAACACGACTGGACAAAAATTGTCAAGGGGAACCTTTACCTTTACCTTTTTATGCTGGCTTTCAGTACAACAACTCTAAACAGATGGTGTTTTGCACCCAGTCCAAATCAGACCCTGAGATTTTTCAGCCCATGAAGTTCTTCTCTTTCCTGCACTTTTCTCATTTATTTTACACTGAATGATCAGCTGTAATAATCTGTACTTATCATTTCTCAATACAGTATTTGACCAACATAATCTAGCTTTTCTATGTTTATGTGTTTTATGACTTGTTCCGTGTTTAGTTGTGCTGTGCTTTCACTGATTATCTTCTCAGTTTAGGGAATTCTTAGCATTCTACAACAAATCCACATTTCAGATGTTTCTAAACTGCCTACGTTAAAATCCACAATTACCCATTATATGCCCTGTTTCCCTGAAAATAAGACAGGGTCTTATATTTTATTTTTATTTTATTTATTTAATTTATACCCCACCTATCTGCTCAGAACGAACACTCTAGGCGGCTTATATTAATTTTTGCTAAAAAATTTTTGCTTAAAAAAAACACATTAGGGCTTATTTTCAGGGGATGTTTTATTTATTTTTTCATGTACACCAATCTACATTTATTTAAATACAGTCATGTCATCTTCTTCTGGTTGCTGCACAATGCTGCACGATGGTGGAGGGCAGGGTTTGAATGAACTGGGGCTTATTTTGGGGGTAGGGCTTATATTACGAGCATCCTGAAATATCATACTAGGACTTATTTTCAGGTTAGGTCTTATTTTAGGGGAAACAGTAAAATGGATAATACTTAGCACTGTACAATCTCATTCTTAAAGCTAAGTTTTTGTTGTATATTGCATTCTCCATCTTAAAGAAGCTGTTCTGGGCCATCTTTATGCTCACATCTATTGTGAGAATTATATGCTATCAGTTCATTCAACCATATTTATATTAGCCAGTATGCACCATGCTTACAGTTTGGCCTTTAACTGGACTTGTGTTTGGTCTCTTCTCAATGCTAACTATATCCAGTTCCTTCAATATTTTCTCATAGGACTTGGTGTCATGGCTCCTTGCCACCTTTTTGACTTTCCATGGATACATTTGTTTTGCTGTATTTTTATTTAAATAATTTCCATATTCCTTCCCCCTTTACTAAGTCATGTGGGGCCTGTGCACAGCTCGACATTCTTGCTGTCCATATGTAGATGAGTGTATTTATGGGCTTTTCATGGATCAAATACCTATAAGAGGATGATTTATTTAACTCTGTCCTTGAGCCTGGTTTCTAAGACTGAACAGGATATTTTTGCTATGGGTGAATCAGAGTCCGCTTGGACAATTTGCTATTCCTCAATCCCATGTTCCCATCTGAAAAATTGGAATGTTATTTATAACTCTGAAATAATATGAGGATACCGAAGACAATGACTGCATTTACTGTATGTTCTAAAAAATATAAGAGGTGTGGCCTATTGGATAGAATATTGGGTAATCCATATTTCAGTTCTATTTGCTTGAAAATCATGAACATGTTTCTGGCTAGTATCCTGTTCTGTAGTTCTGCTACTGCAGCTGGAATGATATCACTGGCAGCAGCAGATTGCTTCTAATTAAATGGTTTCTGTTCAATTTGAATAGCCTTGTGAACAAGTTGTATCCAGCTGAAAATCTAAGTAAGATTTCTTTACCAGCAACCCGCTGCTGCTGGTGATGTCATTCCCACTATACTGGCAGAACTGTGCAACTGGATACTGGCCTTTGTATTCAGTTAGTATATTCACCTTCAGTTTAAATTATAAATTAAGACATAACCTTGATTTGTAAGAATAACAGTGTAATCTTAACTGAGAGATCTATGCTCTGGAGGAGATTTGGATGGGGCATAGCTCTGTTGTCAATACTACTGCAGACTTCAGTGCTCCACTGGATCCCCAGCAGATTTTCTTATATGCCTCCCAACTCAGTGCCAGAAGGACATATGGCATAGGTGGAGTGTGATGGAGAGACCATGTACTGACCCTAATCCCATGTAGTCTATGTACATGACACTTTGAAAATGATATATGCACATAAATGGGTGGCGTTGTGAGAATGGCTGATGGTCGGATTCCGAAAGATCTCCTGTATGGAGAATTAGTGCAGGTAAAGCGCCCCAGAGGGAGGCCACAGCAGCGATGCAAGAAGGATCTGAAGGCCTTAGGAATGCACCTCAACAGATGGGAAACCTTGACATCTGAGCATTCAGCCTGGAGACAGGCGGTGCATCACGGCCTCTCCCATTTTGAAGAGACATGTGTCCAGCAGGCCGAGGCAAAGAGCCAGTCCGGAAACCAGCCAAATCAGAGAGCTGGACA